TTGGGGTCTCCATATTTTGGGAAATTACCATGTAGGGATTTATACCAGGATTTATGTACGCATATGTACATACGCGGGGTATGTTTGGATACAGGGACATTTCCCTAAACCCTATCCCCTCAGACCCTGGAAGCGCAGGCGTTCCGTACCAGTTCAGCATCAGCAACATCCAGGCCCGGATGCAGTGTGCGGCTCTGGGACTCGGGTGCTTAATGGTTAGAGGGCTTAGGGTCTAGCCTTCAGGGCTATTGGCATCCGCAACCGCTACAGTTTACTTACACGGGTGCTTAAGGGTTAGAGGGCTTAGGGTGTAGGTGTTAGGGATTTTAGTATCCCGAACCGCTGTAATTAGCAAGGAACCTACAAGAGTCAGATGATAGCCATGGCGTTCTTACTTTGAGCCTCGGGGTTACCACTTTTTTTTTTGGCGCGTGTGGACTGAACCCAGGGACTTAGATGTAGGGGGTGTAGAGGAACAACAGAGGAGTCATTCTATCCTTCGGAATTGTTCTTAAGTTTCATTATAGTATAACCTGAAGACATATTAGTTTTCTTATACGTCTAAGAAGACTACAGATAGGAACAGAAACTATGCAAAACAAAACATTTAGGGGACTTCATTGTCCCAGGGTAAGCTCCTGATGGCTTCTCGGGCCTGTAAGCAGCAACACCCTACACTCTAGAACCTAAGACGCTAAGCCTGTGTTCTTAACTCCTTGGGACTTAGCTTGGACCTTAGACCCTTAACCCTTTAAGATTCCTTTTTACTCCTAGTATAGGTATCTAGGGGTTAAACCCTAAACCCCTAACCCCTAAACCCCTAAACCCCTAAACCCTAAACCCTAAACCCCTAAACCCTAAACCCCTTAGTAGGGGTCCTAAGTGCCACGTCGTTAAATCCAAAGCCTTGATTTCTCAGTTCTAGAGCCCCTGGAAAACCCTAGGCCTTGGGTACTGCCCCCCCCCAGTAACAGTCGATATTATATAGCCATATGAAATTAATTGTTATCCAACTGGGGGCAGTACCCAACCTAGGCCGCAAACCCCCAAACAGAACCTTAAACCCTTAAACCCTAAACCCTAAACCCTAAACCCAACCCCCCAAAACAGGCGAAGCACCGGTTGATCCCCAACCAGCCCGAGCCGCGGGGGCCTGAGAGAACTACCTTGCCTTTGCCTCTTTCGTTGGTTGCTACAATGCCTTTTTGGGGTAAGGCACTTTTAGCTTACCTAAACCCTAACCCCTTTAAGCGCAGGGTTTGTGGATCTGGTCTGGACATCTTGAAGGCTTAAAGAGGCTTGAATCAGCCTTGCGCGGGAGCCACACAAGCGTAAACCTGGAAGCAATCCCCAAACCCTGCCCAAAATCAGAGACCCAAAGCCTTTAATCTTAGGATATAGGGTTTAGGGCTTCTACATCTCTGAAACCTTAAGCCCGCCCTCACGCCAATCCTCCTCGGGTCCCATTTCATCTCCACTTCATCCCCACCTGTGACCCCGAGATCCCGAAAGCTACCCCCCCATTTTCGGAAGCTTCAGGTCCCCTCGGCCCTGGAGAATCCCTACAATGTACAGTCCCCCTTAAGTAGACAGAATATGGGGTTTAGGGTTTAGGATTTATGGTTAAGGGTTCAAGGGTTTAAGGGTTTAGGGTTTAGGGCCTCTACCCTGATAGGGTTTAGGGTTATAGTCCCCCTTAAGTAGATAGAATATAGGGTATATGGGGATCTTATTATAACATACCCAAAGCCATATTCTATCAGCTTACAGGGCCTCTACCCCGATGCTGCAAGAATCTGGTCTTAGGGCTCTGGTGAGGGCATTTTAGGATTCTTTCGCGATACAGCAGAGGTAATATGCGGGAATAGCTTCACCGGGGATCACCATACATCCATCCCTCTTCGTATTTAACATTTTTTCCTACAAACATCTCAAAGTCCGAGCATCCTCATTAATCCCTCTTCCGAAAATCCTTCCCACAAAGCACTAGTAAGGTCTCCTAAAATTCCTGAGCATGCAGCGGTTCTCTAAGGACAGAGAAGCCGGATGAGAATGCAAACCATCGCCCCAACCTGGCCGCCCGACGTATTTGTTCTGGGAGGCTTAGGAGATTTAGGGGTGGGGATTTTGAGTGGAGATCTGGCGGGTTTGGGATTTTCAGGTTTCAGGGTTAGCGTTTTGGGAGTTGCCGCTTTGGAGGGCTCTCCAGATTCCTTAGCTACCTCTCGGTTCAGAGGTTATTGAGGTACATCCACCTGACGAGTAACTGGAGATGCAGCTGAAATTAGTATGAGCAAGCTTGATGGCCCACCAAACAACATACACCTATGTACACATGGGTGGTTGTCAGAATGATGGTCCCTTTTTTGGGTACCCATTATAGTACGGCACCTAATATTTCGGGTACCCAAAAAGGGATCCTAATTTTGACAACCACCCACATGTACATATGTGCATGACTATTGCTAGCTGCCAGGACAAGATATGGTTAGACGGAGCCCCTTCCAACGCCCGGAAGACGACCCCAAAACCTTAACCCCCCAGATCCCGAGCCGTGTGCCATTCTTTGAAAATGAGGGCCGCGTGAGTTCAATGTTAGTATGTGGGAGCATGCTCCCTGTATACCCTTGAAAAGATAGCCTCAGTAGAACCCCCATCTCATCTCTATCGCCCCTTCAAAAGGCTTCTATTCGGATTCTTCAGCCGTAATCTAGGCAATTCTACCTAGATCCCCCTGTGTAGATCCAGCTTCCATGTCATTTTCCACGCTCTTCGCCACTTTATGCTCCATCTTTGCAACGTATTTTGGCCCCTAAGCCCTGAACCGTAAACCCCAAAGGTTTGGAAGATTCTCATTCCAGCTGTCTCCATCCTCGTGGCCTGGGGCTCAGCGGCCTGTAGGGGCCTGTTTAGAGTCCCCCTTAAGTAGATAGAATATGGGGTTTAGGGTTTAGGATTATAGTCCCCATGAAGTAGATAGAATCTGGGGTTATATGGGGGGATCTTCTTGTAATATTGGTCAATTCCATAATTCTACCTACTTAAGGGGGACTATAGGTAGACTTGGGTTTTGGGGGCATGTTATACCTAGGTCTATAAGCATGTCGGGCTTCAGGGATAAAGGGTAGGAGCCTGAAGATGTACTAATATTGGAGAGAGTCCCCTCATGATCCTCATGCAATTTTAGTACGCCATGATTATCCCAAATCTTGATTCTAATCATTTAGTCCCCTACATAATGGGCATGCCAAGGCAGCTCTGAAGTGAACCATATGCAATGCCTTCTCTTTGCCACCAGGCCACCCTTATTCTGACCCCCCATTTTTACCCAACCCCTGGCCTAATTGTTTGAAAATAACCGTACTTAGGTCAAGGAGAACTAGGGGTCCCTGTTGAAGGGGTTAAAGGGGTTGTAGAGGGGTATATAGGGATACAGGCTAGTTAGTGATTAGGGAGCCCATGATTTGGGCTTCGCATTCAGCGCAGGCTTGTGGAAATTGAACCTCCCAATCGAGGTCCTCAAATCCAAGGGAGGGGGGTAGAACCTGAGAGCAGTTTCTCGAGGGCAGAGCTGGATCTTCTTTTCCAAAAATGCACATGTCGATTTTGCTGGGCTTAGTCGCGGCTTGGACTTGGGCAAGTAAGTCGTTTCAGGCATAGTACCCAGGATGCAACTGTGCAGCGCTGGCAAGAGCCTCCCCATGACTGTGGGGTCCTGAAGGATTGTGTTTTCTGTTTTTGAGCTTAGTTTAGTTGTGCATGTACTACGAACATCTTGTGTTCTGGCTCCAAGAGTTTACGGATTTCGGTTAACAAGTCCCTGTAGACATACTGACATACCGGGCCTTGTAGAAGAAAACTGCATGAGGTGCCCCTAATTCAAGCCCTAATCTCTGCACCCTTCACCCTAGACCTTAATCCCTATTCCCTATACCCACAGAGTAACCATGTTAAGGCTTACCTAACCACCCCGAAGATTCCGGTTCTTTATGTTAATTTCAGGTTAAGTACAGTAAATTGGGGAACCTTGGGTAGTGCACAGGGGGGTTGTTTGGAGAACTAATCATACCCAAAACCCAAAACCCTAAGCCCTAAACCCTAGACAAGTAGCTGGAGGTTGCTGCGTGTTGCGCCTTTCTCTGCTGCTATGCCTGCAATGAGGACTCAACAGTCAAGCGGTGGTAGGGTTTATCTGTGGCTCCAATAACCTACAGTTTAGTAGTAAGTACCTCGTAATTAGTAGCTATAACCCATAAAACTGTAGGTTATTGGGGTTGCAGGCATGGCTTCAAATTCCTGCTTGCTGGGTTTGGGGCTTTAGGGTTCGGGGTTTCTGGTTTACCGTTTAGGGTTCGAGGTTTCTGGTTTATACAAATTGTACAAGGTCGAGGTTGCGAGTTTTGGATGGGTTTTGACCGGTTTTGAGCAAGTTTTTGCTTGTGTTATCGGAGCTTGAGGGGGTCGAGTCCAGGGTTTCTGGTTCAAGCGGGTGGGTCTCTAATTTCGTGTACCAGATAGCTTAAACCTGAGCGCCAGGCCCTGCAGATATATCTCAACTCTGGCCCCTAAACCCTTAAACCCTAAACCCAACACCCTAAACCAACCTTAGACTCTATACCCGGAACGCTAAACCCCACTGAGTCTCAAGCCCCAAGGCCGATAAACCTCTTACCCCTAGACCTTAACCTAGAGCCCTCAGACTTGAACCTCAAACTTCAATGCGTTTAGGGTTTAGGGTTTCAGGGCTTTAGGGTTTAGGGTTAGGGTTCAAGGTTGTAATCCAGAATCCGAAGCCTTACGCCTTGAACTCAAGCTCAACCTAGAGCCCTAAGCCTCAAACCTTGAACCCCAACCAAAAAGCCCTAGACCTCAAGCCCTAATTTAGAACCCTGAAGCCCAACAATTTTGCCATGAAACCCAAACCCTAAACACTAACCCTAGACCCTAAATTCTAAACAGTGTGGGTTACAATTGCCCCAGGCTAATGCCAGGCGGTAAAGGCAGTAAAGGCCGTTGGGGCTGGATAGCAACTTAAACCTGAATCGAGGAGCCTCAACCCTAAGCCGTAAATGGAACCTAGAACCCTGACCCTCAACCTTAATCTACTAAAACCCAACACCCATACCGCGCACTTGCAAAACGTTAAACCAAGAGGCCGTTGGGGTCGAGAGAGGAGAGTGGAACCCTTAATCTAAGGCCTTCTGCTCCTGAGGTATTTCTCAAAATAATCCCTATATAATCCCAAGCGGTGACCCTCATAAGCCCTCCCCCCCCCTACAGTCCCTGTAGGTACTTAGGGTCCCTAGGGGGCCCCCTTTTTTGAAGCTCTCACTGGAAGCCTGGAGGATGACACGCAGCCAATGCAGTCGCGCCGGCTGACAGCAAAAAAGGGGGGTCAGCTCAGGATAACCCAAATGTGTGATGGTTTAGGGTTTAGGGTTTAGGGTTTAGTAAACCCCCTCCCCTTAGTAGGGATTATAACAGGGACCTTAATATTGCGGCTCTTAAAAAGAGGGGGTGTATTAATCATGGACCCGTGATTGATAAACCCCCTCTCCTTAAGAGGGATTATAATGGGGACCCTAGTAGTAAGGCCCTTAAAAGGGGACCCTAGTATTAAGACCCTTAAAGAGGAGGAGGTTTCTTAATCACGGGTCTACATTAGTTGTTTAGGCCTCTACAGCAGCCCTGAAGCCTATAGTCCCCCCTTAAGTAGACAGAATATGGCTTTGGGTATATTATAATAAGATCCCCATATACCCTATATTCTATCTACTTAACGGGGACTATACCCTAAACCCTAAACCCTAAACCCTAAACCCTAAAACCTATATTCTGTCTACTTAAGGGGGACTATACCCTAAACCCTCAGCCCTAAATCCTAAAACCCATATTCTATCTATTTA